CACATTTGTGTTGTATGTTTTCACGTCTTACACAAACGATGTAAAATTTGGCTGACAATTAGTTGGGAAAGGTCGTGGAATACATTAGATGGAGTCAGTTCATTCAAATATTATCCTTACTGTTCGTGTTCACCAAATCAATGTGATGGACTTCTCTATGAAAATGGCTCTGACGTACTATTTATTATTAATTTTAATAAATATGAATTGGAATCTGATTAGCTGTGATAAGTCAGTTTCTCTGAGCTTTGCTATTGGCTCCTGAGTTTCTTAATATTTGACAACGCATTAGACATGTTGAAATATTTGAAAATTTGGGCTAATAATTACTTTGTTTAATAGAATTTGTGGTAATGATCATAGCTACGATAACAGAATAGATGGAACATGGATAGCATGGAATCTCGAAACACGCGTTTCTTGTCATTTAGAATTCGTCAGCCAGATGTATCTTCATCTGAATTCCGATTTCCATCCCATGAATCAATCCCATTACCGTTTGCTTCAGACTGCATCAGTTTATTCACTTAGCTACTTATACAAGACATTCATTGAATTGTGTAACGTGTATGCGATTCAATTTTGTCGATTCTGGATCCGCTTGCATCATAATGATTATGTCGAATCCTTGCAGACACAATAACCAGTTATCAATCAAGACTGATCAAATTTCTATCAAATATATCAACAATGTAATAACCGAAGTCAGTTCAACTTGAATTGAGACTGCTATTTTGTTGATATTATTATTGATCTATGTTTCAACATTCAAGCAGTATTGGTGAAGTAAATAAATAAATTTAACTTTACGGTACACAACATTCATAATGTTTAGTTTTCTGATCACTTATCCCTCCCTCTCTGTGTGTCTTTCTCTCTTGTTATACTTACATAGAATATAATGAAACTATTCAATGAGGTAGATTGCTAACTCTAAACATATATCGTTGAGAAAAACAGTTTGTCATTTGGATTTTGTTCTCAATTTTTTCTTTCTATTATTTCAGTTTAGATAAAGATGTTCATAGGAAATTTAAAAGTCTATAATTCTGTTATCATATTGATACTAGACTTATAAAACGTGAATTAACTTTCTTTTTGATATACACTTGTAGCGGTAAATAAATCCACAAAATCAATAACTCTGTAGGTGTTCGACATTTTATGCTTATCATATTAGTTTTAATGGAGTCACCTAATTGAAGGCGCTCGGTCACGTATTCGCACCAGATCACGAGTGGGAATGCCACGCTCAACTTCTCTTGCAACCAATAGTTAGTTTAAATCAGTCGCTTCTCGATATTTTGATAAGCTATCACATATATCTTAAGGAGAATGTAAAACTTGTAAAGCATTTAATTAACTGTTGACACATCGCTCCAAAGGAGTATTCTTTTAAAGTAATCTACGTAGTCAAAGCAACTGGATCGAAGGGGGGGCGAATCAATATTTTATGCACTGCTAAGGCATTGGCAATCCATGAACTCAAACCTGAATTCAGCATGCAGAAACGGTTTGTTCAACTTCTCATCCTTCTTTGGCCCTAATTCTGTTGATGGGTATGTTTCTGGGGGTTTTTTCTTTGTGCTTGTTTCTAAATTACAGTTTTGCAATTTTAAACTCTAATAAGTTATTATTATTACTTTATACAAGTTTTCTTGATTATTATTCAGTCTATTATTATGACCTTTGTGTTATTCGCTTTTATTCATAACTGTCAATTGGACTATGAACTGACCCTTAAATTATTTTCTTCCTTATCCCTTGATTAGTACGTAACCTTATTTGTTATTTAGTCTCAAATCAATTTTTGTAGTGCAATCTTTTCTATCCCTCTATAGACATATATTTGAATAAGTTTTGTGGAGAATTTAGGAAATTTCACAGGTTGAAATCATGAGTCAATTGAAGCTAGACAATCATGGAAAACCTGGAAGCACTGGACGGCCGTTTCGTCCTAGTATCCGACTCCTCAGCAGTGCGCATCCACGATGCCGCACCACGCGGGGCTCGAACCCAGGACCTACTGGCTTCGCACGCGAGCACTTAACCATTAGATCACTGAGCCGGCATCCAATGGTGTTAATGTCTAACTTCAACCAATTCACGAAGTGGCGCTACCGTACACCATTGTCTTCAGTGAGCTGATATCTCACAATAGACCTGGTTGGTTAAGTGCTCGCGCGCGAAGCCAGTAGGTCCTGGGTTTGAGCCCCGCGTGGTGCGGGATCGTGGATGCGCACTGTTGAGGAGTCCCATACTAGGACGAAACGGCCGTCCAGTGCTTACAGGTTTTCCATGGTGGTCTAGATTCAATTGAGACATATATTTACCATATATATACGAATGTACAGCTTAAGTAAACGATTTCTTCGAAAAGAGAATTTTCTTCACTGAATTCTCTTTTTCTTATTCAATGACATTATAGATTATTTTGATTATCATTAGTATAAATTACTATTTAAGATATAAGGTAAAGTTTATATTGAGCAAACTTGATTCTAATTAATTTATCACTTCAAACTATTTAAATTAATCTTTCGTTTCTGTCGATTATCATGCCCTGAAATATATACTAAGCAATAGAATGAACCAATAATTGTGTATTAATGCTCAACAATTATGCTGTGATTAAAACTAACACACTATTACTTACATTAATACAATCAGTCGATAATATCACTCGATCATCTTTCATTGTCTTCATTGGATAATTTTCTCACATTCAATAGGGGTTGAACATTATTGGTCACGGCTTCTTACTAGAGATCCAAGAATCATTCCTCAAAGCTAATCACTTTTGAACACATGGTAATTTTCAACTAGTATTTGTGTTTAGATTTGTACAATTTCATATGATCTGTTGTGTGGTTTATGATGCCAAGGTATCTTTACGAAACTTTATAAACTTACCTGTTAATTCTTTTCTCGTAGTAATAATGTGAGTATCTATATATCTGCTAAGGTGCTTACAAGAATAGTCAAAATTTGATAGAAATGCTAAAATATTGCCAGGAAATATAATCGTTTGCACACTTTCTGTCAACTGAAATTCCTGCATGACATTTGTCTTGTAGTGGCTGGTACTAGATCAAGCTCATATAGGTTATTGTTACTTCTGCACAGATCAATTTATTCATTCTTTTCAAGCAGCGTTTTGGAATTATCACTTATTCGCTGATTAACCCTGACCGTTTTATATATGGTTTTATGTGTGTTAAATGCTATCCCCATTCAAAGCGCCCTGATTTGATGTTTTCCCCTGGGTTCTCTAAATTTCTTTTTTTTTGAAGGTCACATTCCACCACTATGGTAACAGCAGTTGTTTTAATTCGTATTTTGCTGTTTATCTTACCTTGAATATCAGGTCACATGCAATCCGTCTTCAAATTATGTTAGACATCAGAGTTTTCACGTATTGTATTCTGTAGATAACCATCTGGTGATCTATTTCGAATGGTTGGAGGCCTACTCGATTTAGATAGGAATAGTTTAACCAATAGCTAATGTCGAAGTCACACCCCGCAGTCAGAACCTAACTTTCATTACCCCTTCGTCGTACGAACGCACTATACATGCTATGAAGACCGTAAAATACAAAGGACGTTATTGTGGGGATATGTTATTAGGAATAAGTACAGAGAAAGAGACCACCACCCCATGGGACAGTTCATTGCATACGATTAACTGATGCGCGTTGGTTGTCCTTGATCTTTACGGGGTTTGATGATCTGTTTGATATTTAGTGACCAGACTGGGTGATGGTTTGGCTAGGGCTCAGTGACATTTTACTGGCTCTACATTGCAAATGACCGTTGCCGTTTTCGGAGAGAAACGATTGTAATAGATCAATAACGTTTAAGGCCACCACGAACCCAATAACAATATGCAACATAAACTCAAACTACTTCATTTGAGTTGTTTGTTCTGTCATAACTATCAGAGTGCCCAAAATTCCTTCTTCTTCCTGTGTTAGGTGTTGAAGTCCGTAGTATTGATTTTAATTACAGTTGTCACTTCTGACGAGAATCGTTTCTGATCATAGATCAATAACATAGTTGGCCATCTCAAACTCAAATAACAAGACAAAACAATTCGTGACAAGGATGACTGTTAAAAGTGTTGCTGATAAGCTTGAAAGCCTATTGGAGCAATAGTTCAAACTGATCGACTTGTTATCTTATGCCCGAATCAATAAGAGCTCAACGCCATCAACCTCCGTATCTAGATCTATGCTCACTAACAATGTGTTATAACGCTCGGTCTTACTTAATCTAATGTTATAACGGTCGGGTTTACACGTTTACGCATATGGACGTCTATTTATCTTAGACGAATATCTACACTAGATTCCCTCCCAGTGTCTATTCTACAGAACTTCAACACAACTCAGATCAAAAACACGTGATTAGCCTGACCATAACGTAATGTACTTCCACACCAAAAGCCCGACGCAATCCAACAACAATGAACAATCAATAATGAGTCATAATAATAATAAGGTTAATGGAAAATATAACTCATCTGACACCTGTCACATTATCTACATTTTTGACTAAGAAGACAACCAATCAGTATCATTCTTGCCCACACATCACAATGTCAATAATGTTGCTGAGTTTAATGATGATCCATCGTCAAATTTAACATCTGGCACCTGGTATCGCCGTCATACAGAAATGTTTAATGTTCATTTCTCAGATCAATGAGACTTTTGTTAAGTACTGGATAAGTCTTGTTAATTTGAACGCTTTATTCGGTCCCTAAGGTATTCTTGTAACCACAAACTAGAACTACGCAGTGACCTGAACTCGAGACAAAAAGCGCAAAATGAGCGAAAAGCACTTTACTCCAAAAGTCATTTTGTACAGGGAAACACGGGTATTTATAGATGTTAACATTTGTTAAACCAACATCATTATTATTATGTGTGACCTAGTTACAACTAGTATATATGGTCAATGAAAAGAAATCATTAGAATAACCTAATACAAATACGTGTTGAAGGATTTATAAATGTCTCACACAATATGACATTTAGAATTATGACGAGGTCAATAGTGCTAAACCTGACCTTAATCATATGCTTGAAAAGAGTATAAATGGAACTACACAAGTTTATTTCACTGGTTCACGGAGAATAATGTCAACTAGTTTCATCACCCTGTTTGTTGTACTTACATGCTTCACAGAATGGTCACTTGAGACAGTGCTAAATACTACTGAGTCTCACACCAATTCAACTGAATCACAATCCACTCTGTTGCAGGCAACACTGCAATCATCAGACTGTTTACGGTTTTTTGCTTCATTTTTTGGACGATATTATTGGATTGATTTTTGCGACAGTAATAGTTATATTGACCCATATTTTATGTATTATACAAATATGATTTGTTCACATCGAAGTTATTTGACGACGAGATACTGGATCGTGTATTCGTAAGTTCCTAAACTATTGTTCACTTATATGTTTCATGTGGAATGTACGTTACACATTTTGAAATGGTAGATTATTCGGTCACAAACAAACCCATTTCGAATTGGTTCATAATACTGAGTATGTGTTCTTAGTCAAAAAATCTCTTTCAATGTCTATTGGCTGAGTCATCATACACAGCAAACTTTTAATTAGTTAGAGGAAATAAATAAATTACAGACTTTGATCAACATAACTTGACAGAATAATTTCGCGCCACAATCTTGAGTGGATTATATTACAAGACATGATGTGTTGAAAAGATTGATATGATAAAGATTTACAAGAGTCTATATGTCTAAATAGGAATATCTCCACTAAAAACAATCTTATATCTAGTTGTGATTAGCTGAGTTGCCGATTCGAAATTATCAGTATCATCAGTGTACATACGAGGTGTTTGGATAAGTCATTTCAACTGATTGGTTGGAATCTGCTATTATTTGATAGAAACATTCAGTGACTCGATACAAATGAAACAGTTACAATTAATTCATTTTCAAAACACTCAACCATTATTAAAATTATTATTTTGTCCAGCCAAAACTTTCATAACTTTATTTTATTACATAGGCGACACGAATTCCAAGGTCAATATATTATAATTCCACCCGGTGAATGTAAGAATTATTTAAGGCAATACGGAATGACGTCAGTTGGGTCATTACTTAAATGCACAAGAGCAAATCAATACCACACAAACTATTACTGTCATAGGCCACGCGGAACATGGTTCCCGAATAATCAATTTCCACATGGCATACCTCCATTCGGACCGCAATCGGTTCAAGATCCATTTGGAGGTATGCATTCGCCGAATTTTCTTGGTCCACAAAATTAAGGTATGACAATTGAAATGGATTCAACTTAGGATATTTTTTATAAAAAACTTCCACTGTAATAAAATTTTTCTAACAAACACAACAATATGTAATAATCAAAATACATTTTGCAATTGTAATGACTTTGATGGTGATATTTGTGGAAAATATATATTTACCTAGTCCAATTTTATTTAAACAACTCACACGAAATGTTTACTTCCCATTAGACATCAGAAATCAGTCCACATAGATAACAAAATGATCGGATCAAGAATAAGTGATTTATCTGCCATTGCGGTTGATGGAAGATTTTCAATTGCATAGTCAACATCATGGAATGATCATGATCAAACAAAAACCGGAAACCAACAACATTAGAAAGGCGCTTCGTTCTATTATGGTACAACTCAGCAGTGAGCATCCACCACTCCACCACCAATGATCAAACTCGGGACTTTCAGTTCCTGGTGTAAACACCTGATCTCTAGACTAATGGGTGAAGCTGAACATCCTAAGTTTGAAACGTGGTATCTGGATGATAAAAACTCACTTCTGAGTGGCATCTTACTTGGAGGAAACATCCGTCCAGCACTTCCGTTTTATAAGTGGTTAGATAATTAAGATTATTCTTTAATGCTGACTATGAAATATTTCCATTTTATCAACTGTGCTGTTTTACCTACCCAAATTATTTTAAATCTTGAAATGATATTCATAGAGAATATGAGCCTTTTCCTCTCGATGCAAAATATAAAATCTCGGCAGAACAGACTAGATTTCAGCAGAGAGAATATAGGGTTATATATTTGAATAAACATTTAGTGAACATAGTTTATGGGTCATCAGTGTATGTTCTGTTTCCATGAAACATTTCCAAGCATAACGATTACATCAAAAGACTTTATTTATAGTGTGTGCTCTGTGCATCACCGAAGGAATATCAATCATACTGTAATAATATAACAACCTAATCAGACTCATTTATGAAGGACATCTCAATAAATGTAGTTGGTTTATTAATTGATTTTCACCGTATCAATAGGCTCTCATTCAACCCTGCATAACAAAAATATGAATTTTAGATGATAATCACGAATGATTAGTTTCATCGAAGTGAAATTCTAAAGTGAGGTGTAGGTGAAATTGTTGTTCTGTTGATTCGAACTTCAATGTCGTTTAATTACGAAAACCTCATCTTCATTCCGTGGATATTCACTGAGAGTTTCATTATCCATGACGTTACAACATACATCTTGCCATCTAGACTAATTATACATACATTTCCTCGACCACTGATATACACATTTCATCCAATCATCAAACGTGAAATCACAACATGAGTAATAGAAAATCCAAACTAATCTGACGAAGCCATCCCATGTAGTCGACACAAAAATATTCCCTATGATAATTGCAACGTGGAAATAGTAGGCTTTAATTCTGTTTACAAAGTGAGGTTGCATATCTAGTACTACCATAAGCAAACGAATCAATCGATAACTTGACAGTAAAAATTACGTTATTATTCATTAAATATGAGGTTATGGTAATGTTTTGTTTTAGGATTTCATGTGCTAACTGTCAGATAACAATCAATCACTGAGAAGAAGGATTAGAATATCATTGTTATATAGTTGCACTTATGGTCGATTCTCAAATAATACTGTTTAAAGTTCATATATATCATCGAATATCATTTATTATGAAGAAACAAACATTAATCGTAATAGTGACAATTATATTGTCATTCGAACTATGAAAGAAGGAATGAAAAGCAAACAAACCTTCATTTTGCAGTAAATATTTGAATTCTAAATAAATCTATTGAGCATACAGTCTACACAGTCTGCCTGTGGACGTGATATACATTGACTCGACTTGATTTAATTATAGCTTATCATTCAGTGTGACAATAAAAGCTATAAGCTTAGGTCAATCTTCTTATTTGATTTTTAAAATGTCTTGACTGAATGATGTATTTCAAAAGACAAAGGGAAGCAAACGGAGTAATAACATTTTGTAAATTTACTTACAATCTATTCTTCCAAACTGTAGAAGCAAATCGTCTTAGTTAAAATGAAGCTGGAAAGTTACGAAAGTTCATCAAGTTGGTTCATAACTTACAAATGGCTTTCTAGTAAACAGAACTTAAATAAGGCAAACTGATATTTTAAATCCACACACACAATTACAGAGGTTTTCTACCATGTATTTCAAATGTTTTTCAAAGTTAATACTTCTGGTAAGTGAATCAAAAGATGATACAACGACTGTTCCTACTGTACGCAGTGTATATATCGTTGTTTGTTCTCTTCTGGATGTGTATACAGGTTGGTATAAAATCTGAAGCGTAGATATATTGATTTGTATCTACCTATTAACAGGGCATTGTTGGATATCTTGTTATTTACATTTCCCTGCTAAACATGACCTTTCTTGACTAGTGATTCATCGACAGTTTATGTGGAGTCGGTTATTCTCTTGTAACAGTATAAAAAATCATTACATTTGACGTCAGTAACGCAAATTTGTTTTTTCTTATTGCAGGGAAGTAAAGAGTAAATGTACAGGAAAAAGAGGAAAACTCCCTACGTGAGGTGAACCTGAAGAATGATGGACAAAACTATTTTGTAATAAATTTTCCTTTTTTGAAATCAAACCACGTCTTTCAATTCTGAAAAATATATCTGTTGTGTTAGAGCTTCACGTTCATACTTCAGAGGTATTCACCGGTTCTGACTGTTGTGTTGTTGCTTTAGATCACTCCCGCTTCCAAAGAAGCGTTAATACAACGTCCTACACTACAACCAATCATTTTGGGCACCGACTCTTTGTTGACTGGAACAATTTTGAATGTGAAATTGTGATTTTATAACCAGGTAGTTGTCCATCAACTTATACAGACCATACTTGATAGCGTTTTTTGAACTGCTAAGTCCAACAGATTCAAACAAATCACCCTCTTGAGTTAAAAGCTTGTGTGTTACATAGTTCAATTCGGTGTACATGATATAAATTAGTTTCGTGCTTATTTTACATTCAAAAACACTAACTCAACTCGTCGAATGAAGTGTTGGATATATAGGCTGAGCCACTTGAAAATTTATTTATATTAGTGCAAGAAAAATATATTCTGTTTGTTCTCTGCCGAATACGATTATTGGTTAGTGGCATTTCCGTTGTTTTGTGCTTTTGAAGATATGAAGGTTACAACTTGAACAAATGAATCGTGAATTGCTGGAATATGTACATACTAAAATATTCGCTTAAACCATACTAAAAAAACACTGACAAGCAGGACCACATATTATTCAGACTGTTTCTTTGCAGGTCAGCCCAACCAGCACATTCTGGCATTGAAACTACTGTCGTATGTTTAAAAGACCAGTAGCTCTTTCTTGCATTGCATGCTAATAGTGACAGTATGTAACAAAACAAGAAATGACTTTAATGGTTGTTATATCTCGACAGTACAGATAAACGTCCACTTGCAGTCGAGATATTTTCAAAGAAATTAGTGAAAACAAAATTGCCATTAAGTTTTTCTGATTGAACAGTTTCGGAAATCGACTGAAGCTAAGTAGTACATAATAATCTCTGAAATGAAGTTTCCAATCGAGAAATGGTATTACATCAACTTATAATTACGCAACAGAAATAAGAAATTTACAGCAATGACCATTCTGTGAATAACAAATCTGGAGTAAAGGTTGGTTCACCCCTCTGAGAAGTATTCGGAAATATTTAAACCCTCTTTCATGAACTAAAGTGAGTAGCTTGATAGAGATCGGGCAAATATTCACCCTGTCTTGATTATGGATTAACAGAAACGGATGTTTTGTTGGCATAAAAATAAATCACCGAACTAGAGAAAGGACTTTCCTTTTGATCCGTGACAGTATGATCTCTACGATAGTTCACTAAGTCAAGTACAAACCACGGTGAATGACCACAAACTTTGCTGTAAGCAGTGCATAATGGTCGACACTAAATATTTTACGGTATGAGAGTGAAAGAGAATATAGTCAAATGACGAATCGCGACACTAATGATTTGAATGCTAGTATTCCATTTATTGTTCACTGATTCGTTGCTATGATCTGATTTCAGTCGAATCTTTACTACTGTAAAGAGATTGTTAGGCAAACCTCGATGCATTCTATGTGGGCATGTGTCCCATAGGTGTGACTGTGCGCACCTTCACATAAATTTGTATTATAGAATCAATATATCTCTAAAATGTGCAGTATATATACACGAGAAGCATACTCGCGACGGTACCACACCCAATACAGGTGTGCTCATCACAGTTCTAAATGATGTTCAGTAGCAACAAAAATCTCGAACATGATCAGAAGGTGTAACTATTCATAAGTGAACCGCTAATATGACCGTTTGCTCCACACTGAGTAAAGTTGAATCGAAGCCCAGTATGTATAAAGAGAATAAATCAAAATTCATAATATACAGAACGATTACAATAATCACGTCGATTTGATCCAGCATATAATCGAAGATATTGTAATTTTGTATTCCTCAACTTCAGTAGCATTGATGTTGCTCTCAATTGATTTGTTTTAACGTTGGTTGTAGTTGTGTCAGATGCTCATTTCTAGCGTCCACATAAGTGATATAAAATGATCAATTGAATCAAACTGACACCATAGTTTGGGTCGTGACATCAGTGATCAACCAATAAATACTTGAAATCGTCAAATGACATTAGTGATTGAGTGTTTCATGTGACAGAAAATCATTAACAACCAGTCAATTCATCATGTGAATCTGGTGGAAACCATTGTATTCCGTGATAGTTAGCAAAGTATTTAGATTCACCATTGACATTTCGTCGCGAAACAATATCCAGCTCCAAATTATTTCAAGGCGGCAAAATACTCTTAAACAGTATATTGATTTGTCTAATGAGTGCATAATAGTTGGTTTTACATGGATGCGTGACTTTTATTCACTGTGTAGTGCACTGTATTTATCAGTAGGTAACCTTGAATTTCCATGAATTTGAAGTGAAGGAATGTTTCGACTAACTGTACGATGTCACACAGCTTATTCGATGCAACCTCGTTGTCCTTGTCTTCTGTGGAAAAATGAATGTCAGAATTCCGTCTTCCTACCAAACACATCTCAAATTTTCTATCTACGTCTCTGACTGCCCATCCTGAGAAACACTACATTAACACTATGTGATTTGATGTTGTCATGTGGCTTCAACTACTTCTATGAGATGATAAAGCATCTGTCACATATGATGCAATTTTCATACATATAATTCAGTGTGACCAAGTTCTTCTCTATTTTATGTTGGGGATTTGAGGTCCCCAGAACTCACTTGGTAAATTCATTAATTTTGTAATTTGATTTTGGAAACTTGAATTTTCATGTTTTCGCGCCAAAAGCGCTCTTTTCACCTTCATGCCGTATTTCCCACTTGGCAGAATCTTTAACGCTGTTGGTCCGTTGTGTATTTTAGTAGAATATTTTTGCAACGCTTTCCAAGGACAGTTTTATGCTGTGCATATACGTTTGATTTGTGTCTAATATTATTCAATCGTGCTTCCGGCTTATAGGATATACAATCCCGTTCCAAGCTCCGACTTCTCACTCTAGTGAGTGGGTCTTGGACGCATCAGGATAGCTAACTTATTGGTCTTCGATCACAAATCTTAGTTCCGTTCGCACACTAAGTGAACTGGTAACCGCTCTTAACCTAGCAAAGCCTCAATGAACAATGTTGCGGTTTGGATTTCGTCATAAACACTAAATGATATTGCACGGATATATCATTCTGGAGAGAACATTTTTGTATATTCTGAACTGGACGGTCAGACTTTCTTATTTTCACACCAACTTATGAAGAAGGCACACTATGTAATATCGAAGATTATAATTCAAATTTATGTTTATTCATGTGTTATAAAAACGAGTAATAGAAATTGAGACTAGGAAGTGATCGATGGGACCAAATGCACGGCAATAATGCTGTTGCTGTTATTTCCCGTCTGGGATGGATACTCAGTTGAACTTCTTCAGTTAGAATACCGAACCTTCAAATGATTCTCTTGTTGAGAAAAGTGAGTGAAACGGTCATGTGAGCAATGTAGTACAGAAGTGTTCAGTTCATACCACCCATAACTAATTAGCTCGAATGAAATCGATTGCAGGTTACATGTATTGGCATAAAAGTAAGCTCAAAAGAAGACAGTAAACAGGTAAAAATAACGTCACCATACTTAAAAATCGCCAGCGCAATTTGAATGAATATATTGGTCAGAATCAGAGTATCTGTGTTTCGTAACCAGTAGTTGAATTTCGAAAATAGAAGTTTCATAAGCAGGTCAAAAGCATAGTCAACATTCAGTATTAATTATGTATATTCTCAGACAGCAGTATGTTACATGAGGCATAGCAGTTTACAGACAAAATCGAATAGCTGAAAATGCTACAGGCTTCACTTAAATGAGTCACCTAGTTAGGTTAGTATGCTTCAAGACATATTGGTTGTAGAAACACGGAATCGATTTTCATACATTGGAAAATCAATGTTAGTAAGACTCTCATGTTCAGTGTAAGAGTCGGCATGCTTTATAAGGTTTCGAATAAAACCTGCTTTCTACGTCAAAATGATCATAACCCGATCTTATCGTCATCGGACTCGTGTAGTCATGAGTAAGCTCCTATTTAGAGTAATTATCCAGTTTGACCTGTGCGAGAACTACTCGATAGCAAGTAGGACCAACTGAAGGTTACAGACATGAGTCAAAAAGGTATTTGGCACAAGGAATTAGCATCAATACTGTGACGACGGACCACGGGCGATGTCGAGAAAGCTGTAAGAGACTCAGGAATATTCTAGATTTCCTACGTGTAGCTTCTCGATTGAATAATGCTAATAGCCCCCTGTATACGGACTGAAGGACTGTAATGATGATTTCGTTCTTACTAAAAACTATAAATACCTGACAATTTTGTATTATGATTGACACTTTTTGGAATAATATTGGAATAATAACTTATTGCGAGTTGGAAGGGATTTTGGTGTTCTAGTGTTCTGTTATACGCGGTATATTAAGAAATCAACATTCAAGATATAAGAAATACCAGTGGTTCGCGACGTCCCACTAGACTATGAGGAGTCGCTATTTAACAACATGTTATACCCTACAGACATTAGTGTACTGAGGTTATCTTTGCACCACCATGTTTGATGGTCAATCATGACAACCTTCCACATTTCAAACCCTCGCACAATCTCTGCCAATACAATTTCTTATGTCAATATCTTCTTATTTATTTTCCTTATTTTTGACTCGACAGATCGCTGTATGCCAGCAGGTTGTATTCTACCACTATGGTAACAACAGTTGTATTACTTTGAATTGTGGTGCTTGGTCTACCTTGAAAATCAGGTTACATTCAATCCGTCTCCTTGCTGTGTCGGACGTCAAGGTTTTCATGTACTGTATATCAGTGACCGTTGTCCATTTCGGAGAGAACCGATCTTCACAGAGTAGTTCGATCATTTCCAATCATGGACCAATGACATCGTAGGCTATCTCGAAGCCCAACAACAAGACACAGTATTTCTGATATGACCGAACGAAATTGCAAATCATAGGGAATCGTGAGTCAATATATGACATATTACATGAAGATATGGCACCAAATTCATTGAAAAACATTAA